CTGTGCAGAGTATCCAAACTCAGACCATGGAGTGGTCCCCGGAGCCTTGCGATGTGTGCGAGAGAGCCCAGGCCAGCCTCCGTGAAGTGGGCAGGGGCATCATTAACATCTGCAACAGCCAGAACCTTCCTTCCTCTCTGAGCAGATTCCTGGAGCTGGCAGGGGACGCCCCGGACACCAAGCCCCTCAGGGCCATGGACGTGAGCTACTGGGCTACCGAGCAAAGCAAAGACCTCTCCAGGATTAACAAGCATCTCCGAACGCTGGTGGAACTCATCAATCCCTTGAAGGGGGCGCTGGAGGAGTCCGAGAAGCAGAGAGAGGAGCTGAGGGACCAGCTGGAGACCTTGGAGGGCCGCCTTCAGAAGGAGAAAGAAGCCCAGGAGCAGGAAAGGAAGGAGGCAGAGCGGCTGTTCGAAAGAAAGCACGCCGAGAGCCTGCAGCAGGCGGCCTCGCTGGAGAAAGAGAAAAAGGAGCTTCAAAACAGTGAATATCTTTCCCTTAACCAGACTTTTCCAAAGGGTTCATCAACATTTAGAAATCTGGTTTTGAACCACAATTCCCAAACATTGTCTGGCGAGAAGGGTTATGGGAGTTGTGGTTCCCCAAGCCAAGCCTTGCTCTGGCCCAGGGCAGAAGAGATGGGCCTGCATTTTCTAGTGCGGCTTGGAGGACGGAGGGGCTGCCTTCGTAGGTAGTAGAGGCCAGCTCACCTTGTCCGCCCTCAGTTGGGGCTGTCAAGGACTCCACGGAGGTGGGTTTGGGGTGCCTTGGCTCCAGCCCGTGGCCTTCAGGTACACTGCCCCCCAAAATACTGCACTGGGTCCTCATGATTCCCGGAATTCCATCTTCTGAATTAGCTCAGAGGGGCTTCCTTGGTCTGCCCCCGCTTTTTTTTTTTTGCTTTTGGCCAAGAGGGCGTGGTTGTTGCTGGCCTACCGCTCCCTTCGTCCTTTTATCAGTGGCTGGGCTGGATGAGGAGCCCAGAGACACCCCGAGGGCCACAGGTCCCCCCCCAGGTCTGCTCCTCCTCGCGGATACTAGCAGCCACTATAATAAACACTAAACGGGGCTTGTTGGATCTCTTCCAGGAGTTGACTCCTTAGAGGGAAACCTCTCCCGCTTGAAAGAGACGCTCCGGGCACAGGAAGGCACCATCCAAGCGCTGGGTAATAGTCATCATGAGACGCTTCCTTCACAGGCAGAGTCTGTGATGTTCACAGTCACTGTCAGCTCACAAGTTAGGCCGGTCATTTGGTGTCCCGTCGGAGGTGGTGGAGGACTAAGGTTTAATCTTTGCGGGCGACATATTCCTGGTGTTTATGTTTGGGTTGCAGGTGACATGGAAGCAGGCACCTCCAGGTCAGCATAGGGAGGGCCCAGAGCTGCATCCACTGGCAATTCCTTTGTAGCAGAGATATGGTAGCATCCCTGTATCCGTGGAGGATTGGTTCCAAGCACCAACCCCATGGATGCTGAAAAACGCAGATTATGGCAAATGCTAGTATAATAGCAAATGCTATACAAGCATGGTCTCTGGCTCCTTCTACTGGCCAGTTCTGGTAACGACATGGTTAGAAATATATATTTTGGGGATTTTTCTTTTAAAGTTTTCAGACCGTGGATAAGTGAATCTGTGGATACCAATCCCGTGGATAAGGGGGCCCTACTGTACTCTCGTTACTACTGTTCCCTCTTCCATTTAACATTCAAGTCAGGAAAAGACGTTGGAGGGATCTGAGTTCAAGATGGGCAACATGCAGGTTGTACGCGAGACCTCAGAGACCCGTGGGTGCTCCCAAGCACCCACACCCCTCTGTCTCCTGAAATTTTATTTTATTTTTAATTTTAAAAAGTCCCCTTGTGCGCCCTTGCTTTTAAAAATTGGCAAGAAAAACGGTGAGGAAACAGCGATCGTGGGAGCGAGCCCAGGGCTTGGAGGCTCAGGGAGGGAGCCATATGGCCCCCTCGGACTGCCTGCTACACTATGGGGGACGCCCAATATGTGGTGCCGCCCCCGGGGGGGGGGGGAGGCTTAGGAACCTGTGAGTAAATCCCGTAGGACTCAGTGGGGCTGACTTCTGAGTAGGCCTGTGTAAGACTTCACAGTTAAATTCCTTAAAAACCCTAAGGCTGGAGTCCTATAAACCGATGAAGGCCATGGCACTTAAGGTATAACTGTATTGGACACCGATCGCCACTTCTTCCCCCTTGGCCTCTGAAAGGTTAAAAGAGGGTGCCCCGCAGAGCCTTCTTGACTGTGGCACGTGGCTTCCCCCTTCCGCTGCGTCTGGCGTGGCCCCCTGAACCAAACTGTTGTGCGTTCCACAGAGGAGGCCAAGAAGGGTCTGCTCCAGGAGATGAAAGCGAAGATGGTGGACAGAGACGAAGTGCAGAAACTGGAAGACCGGCTCCAGGCCCAGGCGAGCCAGCTGGAAAGTGCCAGGCAGCAACTGGACCGGGCCAGCGTGGCGCTGG